TCCTATAATGTCCAACATATTTACCAAGTTTGAACAAAATCCATCTGTAAACAGCCGGGAAATACTTGTTTTTGATGATTTTTTAGCACAAAAATGGCCACCATTGGCCATTTTCAATAGGATCGTCAAACCAATATATCTGTATATCTATGACATGATGTATAATGAATATTTAAAATTTCAACATAATCAGTCACAGCAAGTCAAAGGTATGGCACTAGAACCACATTCATTAAAACAAAATGGCCGACAGTTGGCCATTTTGAATCTTATCTGCAAAAAAATGATGTGCAACAAGGTCCTATAATGTCCAACGTATATACTAAGTTTGAACAAAATCCATCTGTAAACAGTCGAGAAATGCTTGATTTTGATGATTTTTAGAACAAAAATGGCCGCCAATCGGCCATCTTGAATTAGATCGTGAAACAAATTCATGTGCATATGTATAATATGTATGATGTAAGTGTGAAGTTTGATTATGATTGGTCCAGACATTTCTAAAATACAGGTCCGGACACACGCACGGATACACAGACGCACAGAGGTCAAAACACAAGTTCCCGTTTTCAGACTGCGCCTGAACGGGGATTAACAAACAATTGTATTTTGCTTATGTTGTATATGTTGAACACGACATGGAGCATCAATCACCACCCGCCCATGGTATTTTATGAAGAATTACCCATGAATTTGAAAGCCCACTAGAAATAATGTTTCAGTGCCAGCTTCCTTGGTTTTCCTTCTTGTTTCCATTTTCTTGGGAAAATGTGGTAATCAAGTGTTTGCTTAACCTCTACCCTAATGATCCACACAGGAAAACGGCAATTAACACGTTAAACTCAGGATAATTTGTGGAACTGCAAACTACAACTTGGCAAGCTTTGCCGCCATTACAAACTCAAAAGTGGTCATGTAACCACTAACAAAAGAACATCTAGAGTACTAAATATAGTTATCACAGAAAAGCTCTGTATTTATTGACACAAATTGAGTAAAATCAGATTGATATGCAAATCAGTATAACATGAGTAAACCTTACCCGTGCATTAGATTTTTGATGGACTTCATTAGCGAGTAATTTCAGCGGCCCACAATACACTCCACTCTTAGCAGTATAAAATCTTTCCAATGCTTGGTAAGTTTTGCCACTATTTGTCGGCCCAGCATGGAATATTATTTTTCGTTTCATGGCTCTTGCTTCTTGATACCTGTGTGGAAACAAACATACTGGTAACACAATGCATAAAGTGAAATCGACTTGAACCAACTTATAATCCCTTGTTGGATTATCAAGCATATCGTAAGTTGATTAATGTGAAGCTAGTCTTGTCACAACAAATCATAAACACCAAGTTCAAATCGATGATATTATGCTGAGGGCAATAAAATTATGTATATAATTCTATGTAAAATAATTCTGAATGTCACTGTGGCACCCAGTTTAAGCAATTACTTTGCAAAATAAAACAAATTACAAATTCTACTACAAATTCTTGATATTTTGTTGAGTATAAAGTTTGCATTAAAAAAAGTGACAACAAGATCGTTCTGTGAAGACCAAAATTACATAATCCACAACAGTGGGTCATTTTGAAACAAATCACAAAACAATACATCAGTATGAATGAAATTGATCCAGACATGTCTAAGAAATGACAATGGATAGATGCATACATGCACAGACGATTGATAGATGGACGGAACACAAGACATAAAATAAATCTTTTTCGAAATCCACCAGAAGACTTAAAATAAAAAACAATCTGGGGTAACCAACTTGTTTTCATGGAAAAAATGACTTTGTAATTTCCCCATTGTGTTAAACCCAACTTGGGCAAAAAGGTCAAAATGCTTAAAGGACGGTGGTTAATTCGCCGCGTCCTGGTACTCATAGCGTTGTACACAATTACTCAGCAAAGTTTCAAAAAATTTCTGTCCTAAAGAGTGTTAGCCTTAAGCATCCTAAAAGCTAAAATTACTGTCGTTCATACTTACAAATTGGCAGGTGTGGTAAGATCACTAATTTTTTTCAAGTCATCCATACAGTCCAACATCGGAAAGACTTGTTTTGCATGCCTCATATAGTAAGGAAAAATATCATCTATGTGTCCCGAATCGGAGAGAATATCGCTCAATATAATATGTAAATCAGCAGGCAAATGTTCCGACTCGATAACGTAGCGTCTAAAGCTGATAAAAGCCTGGTGAAACAAATGAGCTGTAAGAAACAGACGATGAAAATAGAAATGTAGATTTCCATAACAACAGTGATATGCAGTTTTAAATGGCCAAGAACAGAATGTTACCAACCAAGCTACTACAGGGTAGTACAGTAAAATGACTAATTTTCACTGGTTTTAAATTTCACTGATTTAGTATTTCAGGCAAATTTCAGATATTTTATCATTTAGATAGTGTGTTCTATGCTCAATTTGACATATTCACTGGGTTTTAATTTAGCGCATTTTCCAGTCAACGAAATTAAATTAAAACCCAGTGAATAATTAACCCTTTTACAGTTATTTGCATACTTGAACAAGCATCATTTTGTGAATGCACAAACATCAAGGCTCACAAGACATTACCTCAATCTCACTGAAATGTTTATAATAATCATAACTTACCATCTAGACCCTGTTCAACACCAAGCATTCTCATTTCTCTTTTTGTATAAAACTTATTTAAAATCTGTAAAACATCATCTGAAAATCAAAATAAAATATTATATAAAAATATTGGACACTTGACAAATTTTAATGGAATGTGTTGTGCAAATGAGTCAACAAATAGCAGCAGGATACTTCAATAGATTTGTACGATTAGAATATTCATAAATATGGTCAACTAATTACCAATAAATATTTAATTAAAGATTGTACAAGAATAACATAATTTACATCAGAAGGAACTTTTTCATGGTAACTTGAGATGAATTAAATTTCATGGGTCAGAACTATGCATTACAATGTGTAACTCATTGTAAATGTTAATGACACAGTCCTCGTCCAAAATGTTGTGATCTGACATATCAATTTGATACTGATGAAGTCATTGAGATTAGATTGAAACCATTTATAGGAGATGGATTTGTAAAAAATTATGATTTAGTGCTTTTACACAAGAATTGGACAGTCATATTGAATCAAATTACAAAAATAATGTACCTGTTTATGTATCTATTGGTATACTGTCTCTGTACAAAATTTAAACAGAAATGTTCATTGCATTCATGGGAAAGTAGGCATGGGTATCATGAAAAACATTATCATGAATCATTATCATGAAAAATGGCCACCAGTCAGCCATATTAGTTTGAATCACAGAAAAAATATGACATGCAACTATAACCCAATATGTATAATCATCATACCAACTTTGATCCAAATTGGCCAAGTAATCTCTGAGAAACAGCCTCGGACATGTAAAAATGACAATTTAGCGCTTTTACATGAAAATTGGGCGTCGGCCAGCCATATTGAATTGAATCACAAAAATCATGTTGGTGCAGATAAATCTTTTGGTATACTATTTTTGTACAAAATTTAAACAGAAACGTTCATTGCATTCAAGATAAAGTAGCATGGGTACCATGAAAAACAAGATGGCCAAATCACGAAAAAAAAAATGATGTGCACCTACAACCCAATATGTATGATCATCATACCAACTTTGATCCAAATCAGCCCAGTCATCTCTGCGAAACTGCTACAGACACATTTAGGTATCAGAAATAGCAAATTTTACATCCTAAATGGCTGCCAGTAACTTGACGCGCATATGTAAGACATTGTGTATTATCTTCATGTAAAGTTTGAATGAAATCTGTCAATGGGTGTTCGAATATAGCTCTGGACGTACGTACGAATGGACGGAACAAACCCAAATTAATAGTCCCCGTTTTCAGACTTTGTCCGAGCGGGGACTGATAACTCATTGTAATGTTTTCAATTATGCAAAATGTATTATCACATTTTGGTATTTTTCATTCAGTTTATTTAGTTTGATTTTTTAATAAAAATTGTATAAAGTTTATTTTATACCACAATCAATCTTTTGATGGTGGTTGTGATGGCAACATTTCATAAAAGTTGCTGTGACCTGTTGTCGATGCTGTGTCGATAGACCCTGAGGATGGGACCCCTGTATAATTGAAACAGATTTCATCAATTTACAGAATTCACAAACAAATTGTGAAAAAAAAAACAAGCAAAAATTTTAATTGGTTAACAATGTTATATTACATGTGAAATTATTATTGATTACTAGTAGTCAGCCATATATTGATACATGTATACATGTAACATGTAAATTTCTTTCTTTCTTCCTTTCTTGGATGGGGATAGGTCATGTTCTGTGGTAGCTATGGAATCATAGCCCCCTGAGGGCCGTTTATGGTCGTCGGTATCTGGCTGGTAAGACGTCCAAGTAATAAAGAAAAAGGTAAAACAGTTGTCAGTCGCAAGATAGAGCTACGGATCCGCAGCTAGTTCTGTGGCTAACAACTTGGAGTTGGGTAGGGGCTCACCTTTCTTTTCTTTGAGGTCAACCGACGTGAGTTCCGCACCAATATCGATATCGTCTGGGTTAGTTGTTAGTTTAACAGGAACTGGAACAAAGAGGGTTGACACATTGCCAGAATCGTCAGAAAATCGACAATTTGATGTGACGTGCAAACTTCTCCTATTGCCAAAATGTATGTGATTCAGGGCACGGGCACCGGTTTGCAAGCATGTGGCGATTTGCAATCGCCGCAGACCAATGTTTGCACATTTTATAGTGATCCTTGCCGGTGAAAGACTCATGGTTATCAAGTTCTACTTGATTTCCAAATATAGTACTGCTGTCTTAAAATCCGTGAATTAAAGTTTCAACTTTCACATTACATGTGCAAGCTCGTCATGATTTCCGCCATTTTGTTTTAGGACGCCACCGATAAGTATTATGTAAATTCTTTTGTTTATTTTAAACAGCGCCTCATTTGTATTCTCGCGTGAATTTGTGAGATATTCACTTGCAGTCTTCGCAAGATGGCGGTGATTCAAAATTACGGTTGTATTTATGTTGATGCGATGGCAGCGTAAAAAAAATTCCGTCTGGAAGGTCCTTACTACTGAGAAAAAAATGGGGAGAGGGATTCTTTGATATATATATGTAAGTATCATTTTCTTTATTTTGTAAGGCGCTGCAGCTATAATTAACTGCTTTATTCCTTGATAATTGTCAGCTTAAATTCGTCATGTCAGATCATGACTCCGTCGCCCGTAATTTTAATTTATCCAATGTCAAAAAGCGAAGAAAATGAAATCGCGTATTTAAAAAAAAAAATTAAATTCACGGTAGAAGCACTTTTGATTTATTTTATATTGTGATCATGTAGAAACTCACTGTCTGCCTAAATATAGCAAAGTTGGCTACCCTATAACCGACACTTCGACTGAAGGCGTACGGTTTACACCGATACCATGGGACGTGTTCTAGCGAGCCTCGAGCCGAAGACTCAGCGTGTACTATGTCAGCATGATAATCGCATGACAGACTCGGGGTTTTCCGTTATATCTCTTAGTATCTTTTTTTATGCGTCGCTATTTCATGCCGTCCCCGTTACGCGTTGTAGACATGTGTTGTTTACCAAATTCGCGTTTCAGTTTATTTTGGAACCGTAAATACCATTAAAATAATTTGACCTACATTTTGTTTCCGCTTCACTCTCCGTCTCTTCAAATATGCAATCAACATTTCTTTCGATGTATTGGAATTATATTCATATTCATTATTTATTGCTGTATAAATTGTTATATATATATATATTGTCATCAACATCATTAACATATTCTGTATTGAAGTTAATGTTTATTTCATACTAGTTCCTCACAATATTTTCAATTGTCGACAGTATGTATTTATAATTTTTCAAAAGAATTGTCTCCGAGCATTGTTTCCTCCTTGTCTGCATACTAATTTATTTGAATGAATCATGTTAATATCCTAGCCTTCACCCAACCCATCGAGATACTAACCAGATTTTCTCCGTCTTTTCCCACATGCTGCTCAGAAAAAGGCTCCTCTTTCTTTTTGTGTGACATTACATTATTTGTAATGTGTCTCGCTTCAGTCATGGCTAAACAGGTAGAATTTTTTTTCTTAGTTGCATGTCAGCATGTTACTTAATTTTTCCATGTACTAGTAAGTGTCATTTTCACACTAACATGTGTGCCTACAAAATCCCATCACTCGGTTTAAAGTATTATCGCTAGGGTTATGGTTTTTCTAGTAAATCAAACCTTCTTGCTTCCACAGCTGAGTCGGGATGGCAAAAGGCTCGACTTGAATAAATGTGTGATTGTATGTTTTATTGTGCTTGTAGAAGTAAATACATAATGCATACTTAAATTCTGAATGCTGAAAAATTTCTTATTTTTGTTAGCTTGATAATTAACAGACGGTGCTCAAAATAAAAATAAAAAATCCCCACAACTTGATTATCACCTTGAACTAGATATAGTCACAACTAGATTATCACCTTGAAATTAAAGTGCCTATATTTGTGATTTCTAGGGGATTGTTTTATTCACACATATACCAGTATCTTTGTTTTGTTGTTTTTCACACTGTTTGTGAATAGTGTGATTTAACCGTCAAACTTTGACGTGATTCAGCAAGTATGTGACATGTCATAACACGATTTGCCTGTAAACGGCACTCGTCACCTTGTCCGTGAGATAAACCCCCACAATATCAAAGATTTATCCCTCAGTTTTAAGTGTCGCAAAAAAAGTAATTTGTCTTTGGGAGAAATACCAAAATGAGTGAATATACGAGTACCTGTAATTTAACGTTTAAATTTGTTGTGCAGTGTTTCACTAAAACGCTTAACAAGTTTCTCTCAATAGTATTTATTCATAACCCACTAATCATTATGTCAACACCACTTTGAAGTAGAGATAAAACCGTTCTACGTAAATACCAGAGATTATTATACGAATAGTAGGTCTTCCCGACACCAATCAGTGCAGTGCTGTGTAGTTCTTACATGTAGAACAGTAACAAAAGAAATCTGCATAACAATGACATTAGCATAATAATATCGCATACTTGGGGAAACCTGTACCCGTGGTTCATTCTTTGACAATTTGTAGAACTATACGCATACCGTTTTAAATTCCTCTGACTCCCAACTGTTGACTAACCCCGGTCATAATATATAACTCACAGGTCAAAGGTATGTTTGCTTATCCCATTTGTGTATGTTTTATGTATTTATTTAAATTACAAGTACTGTATTTGATTTATTTATTGAGTTATTATACTGGTACATTTGTATATCACTCTCTTTTATTGAAAGTACTGGGGTAGCTACTCACATGTTTCTGATCTTATATTAAATATGGTATACCTATTTTTAAATTCACATAAAAGTACATTTATGGATTATGAAGTTTTTTTAATCTTCTTAATTAATCTCATTTGAATAAAGGAATAGATCTTGCAAATATCTAACTAAATTGTAATCTAGGCTCGTATGTAATGTGTGAAGCCAAAATTTACAATCGTTATTTTTTCAAATACCAACTTTTGCATTTACTCTTGCTTTGATTGACTATTGAATGCGGTCATGTCTGAGTAGTAAACAATATAACAACGTGTAAACCAATACTAGGGCGATAGAGTACGTAGTTTATTCCAATTTATTCAAGTTGTCGACTACGCGTACTGACACACATTTTTCCTTCCAGTTACACATTGTCTGTGATTCATTCTGATTTTCGTTTTGTAAATGTACGCTTAGCAAAGTATTACACTGTAACCTCAATATAATGAACACCTTTATAATGAATTTCCTGATATAATGAACACATAGCATGTCTCCCACTCACAACAAACCCAATGTATTATGAGCTTCATTATAGTGAACATTTCACTATAACAAACTAATTGTATGTCCCCCAAAGAGTTCGTTATAACGAGGCTACAGTGTATACTACTAATCACTTGTCAAAGTACGTCAAGCCCCATGTTCAGGTCACATACACATATTGTTTTGAGGAAATGCTCGATGGGTGTAACATATTTCATGTTGCAGGTTTATTCACTATTAATATTTAATATAATTAATATTTTAATTTATATTATGCATTTAACGAAATAAGAGAAACTGAAACCTGGCTAATAATTAATCTCTCTACAGTATCTCTCTGCTTTGGGTTAATAATTCTCTCAAGCTTTAAATGTAAGGAACGACTGAAATTATTTTGTCTATGTGTACTGGGAAGGTGGGATGGGGTATCGGTGTCAGATGATGGTCAGGTATACATACAAAAGTCAGTTTATTTTGATCGAGTTTTTGGTGTACATCAATATAAGTACTAATACATGTACATACCTCATATTCATAAAACATTACAGAACAGAGTGTTGACACCTATGATTATAGTTTTCAATTTGAAGCCCATTACTGGTGGTATATGTACCAGCAAATTCTAGGTCACTGTTTGTGTATAGATAGTAGGCAGCAAGGTTTAAGTACATGTTGTGGCTGGCATATTTGGTGAATATGCCTATGTCATTCATGCGTGGTGTGTTTATATACCTTCATTCAGTGACAATTGTGCAGTCAACCTTCACCAATGTTAGTGAATGACTTTAGGAATGCATTCTAACATAACTGCATTCTGACAGTTATTAAAGTTCATTTACATGTATAAACATACCGGTAGATGTAATATTATTATGCTTATGCAAAATACAGAGATACTGCTTAGATATATCTGTGATCAAAATAAGTCTTATTTTAAAGATCCAGTGAACAACAAAATAAAATTATTGTTTTTTATGCGCTTCTTTTAGAGATGTGCTTCTAATAAGGCAAATATGGTTTTAACCAAAGATTCATGTGGGACAGGATTAATATACTTGGAAAATGTATCCACTTCATGTACTCAGACCTTCATACATGTGAGATTTAAAATTTGGAATTATTAACATTTTTACCACCAGACTTTCTCACCCAAATTTGATATATTTTTTTTTATATATTCTTCAGTTTTTCTAGAAATGAACTCGAATTTTGAGTAAATTTTCAGTTATTTGTGTCCCAATTTTCTGAAGGAAAGTGCAGACTATAAACAAGGCTATGTTTTGAATTTGGGATTAAATTAGGGAACTGGTCAGGAAAAGGTTGAAAAAGGTGCAAGGTACACATGTGGCTGATTGAGGTATTACCGATAGTCAATATGTTTGTAAATAACAGAAGGTATGGGACTTAATTATTAAATTAGGGAACTGGTCAGGAAAAGGTTGAAAAAGGTGCAAGGTACACATGTGGCTGATTGAAGTATTACCGATAGTCAATATGTTTGTAAATAACAGAAGGTATGGGACTTAATTATTAAGTTAGGGAACTGGTCAGGAAAAGGTTGAAAAAGGTACAAGGTACACATGTGGCTGATTGAAGTATTACCGATAGTCAATATGTTTGTAAATAACAGAAGGTATGGGACTTAATTATTAAGTTAGGGAACTGGTGGTGAAAAGGTTGAAAAAGGTACAAGGTACACATGTGGCTTATTGAGGTATTACCGGTAGTCAATATGTAAATAACAGAAGGTGTGGGACTTAATTATTTTTTTATAACCATACATGTATGACTCTATGTTTTCTCATTTTGTACAACAAAGTTAATTTGGGTTCAGTAGTATTTATTATACGAACTGAAAAATACAAAACCAAAAATACAGCTTCACTTTAATTATGTGAACTTAGAAGGGTTGTGGTAAATATTGTTTTTGAAAATCAAAACCTGATGCATGCTTTTATTTTTATTTAAATTTTTTTTTTACCTGCAAATTAATTTTTCTTTCATATTTTTTTAAATTCTGACAAAATACCCCCCTCCCAAAATGCTGCGACTCTCAAGTTATTAAGTGATACGCACAGATTCTAAAAACATTAATATTCATCCCTTTTACTAACATTAATTTCCAAGATAATTTTTATCAATAGAAATCTGTTGTCTTTTTATTATTAAAAAAAGACA